ACAGCAAGGTCCTTTCCTTTTAAATGGGAGAGAGGGCAAAACTTACAGCTTTTTTGAGGTGCCAATGAGCAATAAATGGGAGGCACGTTTTCAGAAACTGCTCTTATCCTGAAAAGCCCAAGATCCCTTGGTCCTTGCTACGAGGATGAATCACAGAATTTAGGGTGTGTTTTCAGCTCAAAGAAATCTTTGGAGAATACTGGCTCTTTCCATTTCCTAGGATCCAAGGAGACTGGATTTCCTCAGATTAAATAATTTTTTGTCACTACCCTGCAAGATGCTACCTTACATGCTGTAATAAAGCAGACAACTGGCTAAAAGAAAGAAATTAAATACAGGAAAATCAACAGAGGACACTATGAAACCTCAGAAATTCACAGTACTGAACAGAAATTGGAAACTGGTTTCAGTGAATACTCATCTCCTTACAGTGTAAACTTTCCCATCTCTTGGATGATATTCAAAGAGGGTCTGGGAAAGCTGTACTGGTGACATTGATGTGCCATCATTTAGTACTGCTGTCAGTTCAAGAAAATACAAGATTGGATGTCCAGCAGAGTTTGCACCATTGCTTTTATATAAAAGACCCAGGCTGCCGGGGAACTCCCACAGATCATGGGTGAGAAGGCAGTCTTTGCAGACCTATCTATGCCTTTGCTTCATTCCTCACCTGTTTTAAAGGTAGGAATCTTTGGATGAATCAGACCATGAAGCTTGAGAAAACTGGGAAAGGCTTTTTAATTAAACAAAAAAGAGCTTCTCAGTATGTGACTGATGTGGTACAGGATTAGAAAGGAAATGATGCAGGGTAACAATTAGTCTGACTCATTGGTCAGTGGTTCATGCTATAGGCTGTGCTTTGTTATTTGATTATGAGTATTGGCTCAAAACTTTGGTCTTGAAGCCATTAAAGTCATTAGTCAAGCTCTCATTGATTTGAGCAAGACCAAGACTTGACCCTTTGTGGCTGTTCAAAGGACAGAGATAGACTTTTAAATCAGTCAAGAGCGTGGACTCATTCTGCTGGGGTCATATGGTTAATACATCCTGTTCCTGTCATTTCCGCTATAAATCTGTGAATGCTTTTAAAGCAAGAGGAAAACCTGATTCCTTTCCTTTTGCCAGATAATATTATGTTCCCTTTTATTACAAACAAGTAAAACAAGGAGTCCTTCTGCTCAGGAAAACTTATAAGGGGAAAGGTAATCTCAATATTTCTATGTCTCTAGAGTCAGCGAGAGGTAAGTTGAGCCAAAGTGCTGGGCAATACAGTCTCCCATCTGCAAAGCATGCAAACCTTCTCCCACTGTCATCCTGTAAGCCTTTATTGGGTGCTGATGATCTTTTTGCCCAAGCATTAAGTCAGTACCCATTGTATTCTTGGTGTCTACAAAAAGATCCCTTATTTTCCACATTGCATCTAGTCTACACAGCTCCTACAAATTGGGAAAAAACTAAGACTTCCTACAAATGTAATCAAACTCATAGTTATTGACTTTGTCTGCTTGGATTCAGACTTGAGTTACTAAACTGTCTGTATTTACTTCTAGAGTAGGATACTTCTAGAAATGTGAAATATATTATATGAGAAGAAGTCTGAACTACTTTGAGTTTTTGCTTTGCTGAAAGATCCACATCATGGTGATTATGGAAATAAAAGCTGTTCTTCCACTCTCTCTTGTGAATTTAGGATTCTGAACAAAACTGTAGGAGAGAACACCCAACCTGATTCAGGTCAATTAAAATAAAAACTCTGAATCCTTGGCTTATCTCATGTTGTATTTCTTCCAAAAAGATTCTGTTTGGTCCTGTTAGGGCCATTAAGATGATCAGAAGTTTGGAGCACCTTTTCTATGAGGACAAGCTGAGAGAGTTGGGGTTGTTCAAGATGGAGAAGAGGAGGCTTCAGGGAGACCTCCTAGCAGCCTTCCAGTACCATAAGGGGTAGGAAGGGAGGAAGAAGGACTTTTTTATACAGACAAATAGTGACAGGACAAGGGACAATGGTTTTAAAAATAAAGAGGGCAGGTTTAGATTAGATGCTAGGAAGAAATCCTTTACTCAGAGGGTGGTGAATCACTGGAACATGTTGCTCAGTGAGGTTGTGGACAAGCCAGGCATCACCATCCCTTGAAGAGTTCAAGGCTGGATTGGGTGGGCCTTTAAGCAATCTGATCTAGTGGGTGGCATCCCTGCTCATTGGAGGGCAGTTGGAGGGGGATGGAATTAAATGATCTTTAAGGTTTCTTCCAACCCAAAAAACTATGATTCTATGATTTGTTGGGAAAATGTGGATGTGATTTGATAGGTTTTACGAAAATAACTTCCAATTCTCACTTATGAAAAGATGAAAGAATAGGTGAGAGAGGAAGAAAGAACTTTATTATGCATATATACATAGTTACCACCCTGTGTGCATGCATGTGCATGTTTTATAAAGGGTTTGATCTTACCTGAGCATCTGTGGCTCTGGTGACATCCCATTTGTTAACATTTCTGTAGGCTCTTCAGTAAACTCACTGGATAGATGACAGTTCATTAAATTAGTTGACAATGCATATCCAGTCTTTCCACCCTCCTCCCCCAGCTCTAAAATGAAAATAAAGAAATTACAATGGTAAGAAGGGAAAATACTATGCAAATAACTCTGAGAGCACTGACACATTTAAACTAATGCATTTCCTAGAATCATAACAATAAATGTGCTGTCAGAGGCATCGCAGTTACTCCGTGACACAACGACTGTGCAAAAGCACCAGTGCAAGCTGTCAGAGCTGATTTTTAAGTACTTTTGAAATATTTTTCTTTCATTGTAACTTCTCAGAGTCATGAGGCTTGGAAAGAGCCCTTTTCCTCTTGCAATCCTTCAGCTAGCTTTTAAATACCTGCATACATCACCTTGCAAAATAAGTGGGTCGGGAACAAATTTTCTAGAGATGGCAGTTACAAAGATTAGTTGTTTTGGGAAATGTTCTTTGATGAAATGACTTGAGAAAGTTTGCCCTGCATGGCAAAAAGTTTTTCCTCAAATATAACAAAGATAGCAGCTAGGCCTACCCCAAAAAAACCTTTTCAAAGGGCTTAACATTTCCAAGCAGTTGATTTTGTTTATTAAAGTTGCTGCAGGTAACAAGAGATAGACGAGTGCAACAGCATCACTATGAAAACCCCTCCATGAAATGGCCTTTCCATAACTTTCTTTAATACACAAACTTCCTCATTCTACTGCAAATCTTAGAGCAGTCTATTAAGTTTGACCATCAACCCCATGCTCTGATGCATGTGTAGGCAGTATGGCTGAGATATAAAAAACCCTTATAATTGCTCAGAAATGCCCCTCTCAAGCCCCTTCTTGGAATTAGTGGCTTTAGTAATACTGCTTAACACTTATTTGGAACAGGCATGTTATTCTTCCATTAAGCTTTATTCTGGTCATTCTCTCAATCTGCATTTAAATTCTGTTTTCCTCTCAGTTGGCATTGGCACCCTTAGCTACCTCATAAACAAGATGCATGCCAACTGGAACACGCAAGCAGAGCTGAAAGCAGCACTGCTAACCTCTGCTTCTTTCTACCCCCTGCAACTTGGAGTTGTATCAAACTCAATGCTTGGAGCCTGGGAAGTGGGCATCCTGCACTGCTTGGAAGCTGAAAGAGCCAGACTTCAATCTATTAAGGTATTGGGCTGGCTCACTGAGCTATAATTGTGCACATTTTTTTAAAAAACCAGCACAGAAAGCCAGATTCACATGCTCTTACTTCAGCTGAGTGTATGTTTCACAGTAAAGAGTTGTGCTGCAAACTGTGAATAGACAGTTTTACTCAGCATTTATAAGGCAAGCAGAATTTGGCCCAGAATGACTAGCCCAGCAGCATTAATTTCTAAGTGGACATACAGAAGAGAAGAGATTAGGTTCTCAAAGCTGCTTAGAGATTTTGGCTATTGGCAAATTTGTATTCTTAGAGACTGCATGCTCAGCATAACAAAATAAAATACAGAGTTTGGAAATATTTGTGACAAGTGGGAGAGGCACTGTAAAAAAAGGCAATGAATGCAGAACTACAGGGGTGAGAAGGCTTCCACTCCCCTCCTGTCCCACCCCCAGCCCGTTCTCTGCACATGCAGGAGCAGCCACAGGGTCGGCACACAGCAATGGGTACCTGGGGAGGCATCTCCTGTGCCTTAGCTTCTCCCTGCTTTTCACTGCAGAGACAAAAACCACTTGACCTCGGCCTTTTTGTACCCAGAATTTATGCAAGATTGCTCCCTTTTTAAGGCCAGCCACTGTGTGTGGGTTTCTGTGTAATCAAAAGTGTATTTGAATTCTTCCCTTTCCTTTGTGGGACCAAGGCTTTTTGCCTTGTCAGTTCTGCACTGGCAAATGTTTCTGTCCTCAGTGGTAAGGCAGAATGTCTAGCAGCACGACACCAACTACTTACAGGTCGCCACTCTGGGGAAAGAAAGTACACATTTAAAAGATTCAGCAGCCTAGGTAGGATATAATGTGACTGAAGACTTTGTAACATTATAGAGTACAAAAATGAAAATATAGAGTGCATTTTAAATGATTAATGTACCAAAGCTGACCTCTTCCAGTGTGCATTAATCAAGGAAAAAAATGCACACTTTCTATCGTGGTTAATGTTGCAGGTTCATTATTCAGCTTTGATAATGTGCATAAAAATGCTTAATATGACAATGAGTTGGGGTAGCTGAGAATTTAGAATGGTGGCAAGTTTGTTGTAGTATTTGGATTAGCATTCTTAACCTACATCTTGACAGCTTCCTTTCTTCATTTCACAAGTGTTAATAAAATCTTGCTTTTTCCTCTTTCATTTTTGGTTATTTTTTCTTGTATTTCAGTTATTTTTTTTCTTTTTTTTTTTCTTTTTTTTTCTTTTTTTTTTTTACAAAATGATTAAAAAAATACCTGCTCAAACAAATACTACCAGCATTCATTAGTCAGGATGGTTATATGTAAAAGAAATGATGCCAGATAGTAACAAATCCAAGAGAAGTTTATTATGAAAATGGCACCTGCGGGATGAAAAAAAATTAAGTTACATAAAGACAACCATGTATGACATGTATGAGAATCTACAAAAGTATAAAAAGAACCCTGTTGTAAATGAAGTATGTACATTTCTGATTTGCAGCATTATCAATGATCAATGAAAAAAATGTTTCAAATAAGCCAGGCACTCAAGAAGTTAGATTCGGTTAGCTTAACACAAAATAAATGTACCATAGCTGTCACTTTTTAACATTTTAATTTTTTTTATATTGTAGAGTTGGTAACACTGCTAAGATTTATACGAACAGAATCCCTTTCCCCATTATTCAGCTACTTGGCACCAGTCTCCTCATAAAAGATTTCATATATTTGTACAAGAAATAGTTAAAAACACAGACACAGTCTTCACAGGTAATGAAGTTTTTTTTTCATTTTGTAATTTTAAACACTATGGATTTAGACAGCAGCTGTGATTATCTGTTAGTTTAAATCACCAGAAATCATTTTGACACAACACAGAAACATTTATAAAAAAAACCCAAAACAACAACAGCTGTCTAGCTGTTCTTTGTAGCTGATAGGTGCAGTCCTTTGATTGTTCCATAGCTAGAGCAGAGCTTCCAAAATTAAACTTTGAATTTCCCAATCAGCTTTCTCACCTTTTTCAGACCTACATAAATCCTTCCCATGGAACCTTAAAAAGTTCATTAATTAAATTTCTAGCATCCAATTCCTTCTTTTGCTACCACTCCTCTGTGGCTTGGACCTACTCAAATTCAAAGCTACCGTAGAAATTGACTCAACGCAGTGAGTGATCAAAAATTTGAAGGACAGTTGAGTTAATACTTTAGCATTGCACACGTAAGCAAATATATATGACAATTCTAAGCTCAGTTTCCTCTTAAAACAATGCCCGTTGACCTTTGAAAGAATTTCCTATCTCACTGGTAATTGCTCTACATATTGCTCTGCCAGCCTACTTAGGAGAAAACCAAAGAAATGCACCCTCTGCTTACAGTTTGAGCACAAGGACTCTGGGAATGTTAACAACTGAGGCTATATGGCGTCAATTTGCTTAATATATCTGAGCATTACTCTGTAGTGCATTGTGGGGTACACTGGAAGAGTAAGTCATACCCAGAATTCCTCTGTGGGAAAAATGGCTCCATTAACCTTGAGCTAGTTAAGAGTCTTTTATCTCTGAGAGTGAAGAAGAGAGAACGAGAGAGCGAGAGAAAGAGAGACGGGAAACGTGTGGAGGAGGAGGGGAGAAAGGAAGGGGGAGAGAGAGGTTTGAGAATACACAACAGCAAAGCAACAGCAGAAATTAAAAGGTATACAGACAGTGGAAGCAGCATAAGGTGACATTACAGAGGAAGGCCACCACACAAAAACCACTAACCCCCAAGAATCACTGGTTCACTAGGACTGCAGGAATGGGACTTTACCACTCCGGACTAGAGATAAAGCACAGAGAAGACAAAGGACAAAACAACTACATTAGCTTAGTATATACTGCATATAGTAACACACATTGAAACTGCAATGGGACTGACAGCCAAGGACACTTACACATTGTACACATTACAGTTCTCACATCTGTTATTAGATGCCTTAACAAACAGCTGCCAAAGATGGAGTGGAAGAAGAATTTATATTTGACAGTCATTTGGAGTGTTTGACACTACACTGTGATTTCTGGCAACAAAGACAAAATAGGAGATTTCTTTTCTTTTACTTAATGTGCAGTTTTCAGTTGTAGTTATCTATTTCAAGCTTATTAACCCATCCTTTAGTTTTAAAACATATTGGTTTCAACACTAGAAATAAGGAAAAAGAAAACAACAAAAAACCCCGAAATTAAAGAACAAAAAGAAATTTACAACCTTCCCTCTATAATATTAAATGGAAAACAAAATAAAACATGTTAAATAGTTCTTCTGGTTTTTTTTACTCTGAAGTGTTATTTGATGTTGCAAAATTAGCCTCAGTTACACTGAGAAAAAAATAAAGCAAAACAATATGCACCTAAGAAACTGCTCCTCGCGTCAATTAAATTGAGTTTTTTGTTTTTAAGCTCTTTTTGAAAAAGGCTTCCTGACCCATTTAAATTTGATGTGAGGCTATGCTTGTTAGTTTGGAGGTAACAAATTTTAAGTCCTGCAGCAAATGTTAATGAGGGCTTTTGTCTTAACTAACCAAGGAGACTGCAGCACCCCACTATTAACCAGTACGGAACACATTCTTTCCAAAAAACCCAGCCCACAAGCTGCATATTGTATGAAGACATTACAGATTAATAAATGATAGCACCATGGTTTTAGAAATTAAGTTAAAGTTTCTGTAATTAACATTTAGTCCAACTTTTTAACATTCTAGTCACAGGCCAGAAATTAACTTTTTAAGAACCCAAATTATTTTATGTGCAAGTAAGAAAATCTTAACCATAAAAAGAGAATTAAACTCTGCATAAAATTCTAAAATACTATCCCCTATTTTAAAGGAATTAGGAACAAAACCCCCTTTTCATTTGACTTAGTCAAACAGGGCACATTGTTTATGCTTGTCTCTTTTAATCTTGATCATATCAAGATCATTTTGAAGTAAAACCAATGGTTGTCACTTTAAAATCTCTTTACCACAACACTGAGTATTCTATGGCAGAGGCATACACATATTAAAGGCATCTTAATAAAGATGCAAAGGAAAAAACACACATCTTAGAAGAAGACAAAATGGCAGGCAACTGGTACTTCGACTCTCTGAAGGCAAAAATAAAAAAATATCTTTACATTAAAGAATAAGTCAAGTTAAAGAGAAAGGGAATGAAATGGGGACCATCATATTGAGATAATAAGCTGACCTGCTCAAATTCAAAGTGCTAGAATTAAAGGTCTAAATTAAAACATAGTCTATGCCTCAGAGTATAACACTGAACACAGTATGTGGTCATACTTCAATCCTCTTTCCGTTCCAGAGTCTGTGTAGTGTGAATGCCATTGCTGTACACAGGAAATGGAAGAGTGGAAAAAAGTCCTTCGGCAGTCGTGAACACATTCCCTGCAGGCATTTGGGTCAGACTGGCCCCGCTCACAGCACTTCCAAATGGTCCCGACATGTTGAGTCGGTGAACGTGGTGGTAGAGCATTTCCATCGGCGTTTTAGGATCCAGCCCAAAGCTGGGGCTGTTAACATCAACGAAGTTAACAGCATGGGTGTTGGGGAGGAGGTTGCCCTGCATGGCTAAAGTAACTTCAGCTGGAGCATACCGAATAGTGCCAGTGGTGTAGACCCTCTGAGCAGCAGTGCTGGTCGCAGCAAGGGTTCCTGTTACCCTGTGAACCAAAGGAAGCACCACGTTGCCTGCTTGTAACCTCTGAAGGGCTTCCAGATCCCCAGTGTACAACAAAGAGTTGGACGCTGTGGGACCTCCTGGATGTTTGTCCCTTGGAGATGCTGAAAGTGGGGGTGACAAAGGGTCAGAGGACACTGGAGCCAAGGCCGAGTTGGATGAGGTGCTGAACTGAGTTTTACGGCTGGCAGTATTTTCAGTCCCTGGAGGGGTGAGAACAGAGTCTGGAATGGAGACATGTAAACTACTGCTGGCTTGGGGGGAAGGGAAGTGCTCGGAGCTGGGGGGCTTGGTCATACTGTAGGGCGATTCATTCCTTGAGATTTCCCTGTTGGGTGGGTAATTCCAAATACTGCTATCATTATCAAAATTGATAGGTTCTGAGATTTCTGTTTTAATTTTGAGCACTGAGGCACTGTTTGGTGACGAGAGCAGCTGGGGCTGGTCCACCAAAGCTGAGTCAAGTCCATTTGGACTTGAGGTGCTTGACAGCCTTCTCCGGGTCATGCTGCCTCCCTTTTGCTTTTTTCTCCTCTTCTTCCTCTTCTGATGTTTGCTGGAAGACTGGGCATTTACTTCACCTGCACTGTCTGAGTCCTTGGCACTGTCAGAAGTCAGTGATTCACAGTTCTGCAACCGCAAGTCTGACTCACTCTCAACATAGCGCTCCACCTTGATCTGCATAGAGCCAAGAGTGCCAAAACTGTCCTCAGGGGCCTTCTGATTCTCGAAGTCTGAGTTTTCAAAGCTGTCATCACTGTCCCTGCTGTCCTGGTTGCTGGAGCTGTTCCCATCCTCATTACAGTTCATTTCATTATCTGACTGATTTCCTGACTTTTTCCTGTCGGATTCGGGGTCTTCACTGTTTTCTGACTGGTTTCCTTTCTCATCTGACTTTGAGTTCTCATTGTCCTCTGGAGCAAAATGAAAGTGAAACAAAGAATTAGCAATAGGAACATAATATTATAATCCAGAGTCCAGATTTCTACCTACCAATGAGATTGGATTTGCTTTAACCTTTTTTATTTTTGTTTTGCAAAAGATGCTCTCTTCTGTAGAGCTGCATGTTTTTGTTTTTTTTTTTTTTTTCCCTGTATTGTGTTGGGAGAGTTTTGATCACCATGAATGTCTCTGACTCAGGACTGTTAATGCACTTGAAGCCTATGCTATATGGCTGCACCTCAATTGAGGGGGCCTTCTCATCTGCTCACTGGACAAGAATCACGATGACAGCTGTGAGCACAGTGGCATTGTAGCTGTGCCATCCAAAGAGGAGTCAGTGAACAATCCCATTATCACTGTTATGTTCTGGTGATTGCTCTTTCACATCCATGCTCTCCTACAGTGGGCAGGCATCCACCTATAGCACTATTTACTAATGAAGATTTTAGTACTCTCATCTCATTTTCCTCTGACCATTGCCACTTTTGAAGTGGCATAAAGTCTCTGGCTGCAGCAGAATTACTGCTGATTTCCTCCTGTGTGAGAGGAGAAGCAGCTTGTGTATGTATAAATCTGAATGAATGAATTAACTAGTTAAAATGAATGAATAAACCAGTTTATTGTTAAAACAATTTTGCTTTGTTGCTAGACTTTCTTCTTATATTCTCCTGAAGGAAAACAAATATGAAAAAATACAGAAAAAATAATCAGCCAATAAATTAAATTCTTGATTGATCCAAATAATCTAAAGACCATTGAAAATAGCACAGCGACAGCACTGGAAGTTGTCACTCTTCTTGCCTGAATTCATTTAATTATAATTCTAATATGGGTGAGATAAATACTCTAGCCCACTGGACTCAGAGAGCCAAAGCAGCTTTGAGACTGAATATGCTCCATTATCACACTATGTTTGAAAGGGTCAAAAAAGGTTTCAGAAAACTCCATCCTTTACAGACCAGCCAGAAATCTTTTGTTGCCTAACAAAAGATGTTTTTTTACTCATCAGAGCCAAGTACTACCCTTTTCAATATCCTTGCTTTAGGTGGAGAGGGGAAGCATTGGTCTGCCTCTAAAGATATTGGTTACTTCTGGAGCCATGTCAATACCAAACTATTTCCCAGAAGTGCTGAAGGTGGGTTTGACAGGAAAGCTGCCTGAGCATTCAGGACACTGCAGTTTGCAAGTCACTTAGTGGGACTTTTGCTTGTCTGCAGCATCAGAGAGACCCTTCTTTTTTCCAAATAAAACATATAGGAAAAAAGTAGCGGCTGTAAACCCCTAAGTCTCATCCAGCTTTTTATTCCACCTAGGATTAAATTTGTCCTACAATTTTTTCCTTCCTTTTTTTGAAGATGCTTTCTCTTAAGGCCATGATTTCTAGCTGGAGAAGAGTGGTTTTAGAGTGAGGTGGTCTAAAGCTACACAATATTTGCCTGGCATGATATCCTAGCTTGAACTGAACTTGCTGGTTTCATCTAAAATACTGTTCCAAATTCAGGTCATTCAGCATTTCTATTTAATTCCTTTGTAGTAAACAAGCCCCTGTGTCTTCTGTCTTCCAAGACCCCCAGACACCTCCTTCAAAGAAGTAAATATCTGTGCACCTTTGGAATGCTGTCTTGCTCTGCATCAGTATTAGAAGTCATGAATGTACATTTATTTCTCATGTGCTCATCTGGAGAAACTTCCAGTGCATGTGGGAAATACAAACTTTTCTCCACATATGTGTTATTTGGCTATTTAGGAACAAGACAGCATAAAGGAAGCACTGGGAATGGATAAAGAAATTCCCAATGACAGTGGTCAGTAAGCCTGCACATTGACTTAAACCTAGCTTTCAAAGGAGAACTAATAAAAGCAAAAGATGAAAGAGAACAGCTATATAGTTAATATAATATAATAAATATGATATGATATGATATGATATGATATGATATGATATGATATGATATAATATAATATAATATAATATAATATAATATAATATAATATAATATAATATAATATATATAATATATAATAATATAATATAATATAATAATATATATAATATAATATAATATAATATAAATAAATATATATAATATAATATAATATAATATAATATAATATAATATAATATAATATAATATAATATAATATAATATAATATAATATAATATAATATAATATAATATAATATAATATAATATAATATAATATAATATAATATAATATCCTCTTCTTGCTTTTTCTTGATTTATATCATAGTGACCCATTTTCTTTAGAGTATTTTTGGTAGTTATCATAGATATGAGAGAAAAATCATCTATCTGTCTATCTATCTATCCATCCATCCATCCATCCATCCATCCATCCATCCATCCATCCTTCCATCCTTCCATCCTTCCATCCTTCCTTCCTACATGGAACAGCTGAGTAACACCTTTACTTCTCGGGCTATAGGAAAGCACACTTCTTTCAAGGCCAGATGATTTGCACCTATGCCTAGGTAACCACTATTAAAACTAACAGGGAATGTGTGAACCATCTGTGCACTGGACCATCTGTAGCACTAATTTACACATAGAACTTGAGAAGTACATTCAGCTATTAAAAAACAGATGAAGTCCCAGACTTAAAGAGCTTAGAAACAAGTTCTTGAACCCACACATTTTAATTAAATGTAACTTTTAACCCAAGAAAACTCTCAAATTTTTCAATCTTTACTGCCCCCTAGTGAGACTCTGGAAGAATGTATTCATAGAGGGAAAGGAGTTATAAAGATTGACAGTGGAGACCTCTCTGCCTAGTCTGGAAAGGGAAGAGCTTGAATTTTATCCAGCAGTTGCAATCCCAAGTCCCCTGCATAAGGCACAATACTTTAAGCACAGCTGGGAAATTAAATATTTAGTTTGGTGCTATGTAGGCAAGAATGCATGAAGAAAGTTAAGAGAAATTCTGAGGAAATGGACATGCCAAGGTCATGAAAAGATTTTGTTAGTGTTTTTCAATTTAATTATATATACATATATATATATATATATATATATATATATATATATTTGTTTTAATGGAACAATACTTGAGAAGTAAAAGCAACTGGAAAGCTGACCGTGTGGCTTTCATGATATGAACCTCTTGTGTATGTAAAGGCACACCATGTGTGTTACCTGAGTTGTCCTTTGAGTCTGATTCAGAGTCAGAGGTCTCTGAGGATTCTGAGGTTTTCTCTGGCAGATGAGGAAGTTGTGCAATATCCATTGGAGTGTCCTTATACTCTGGGTTACTGAAGAGGATACAGCAAATATAAACACAATTGGATGATTTTGAATTTCATTATTTTTTCCTCTTTTCATATCAAAATTCAGGAACAAAGAACATGAAGAATGGCAGAGTAAAGACAGAAACACATATTTTTGGCTTCAGAGCTTCACAGCAGGAATTTGGTGAAGGTTTATTTTAATACTGCAGTCAAATGCTTTTATTGACCAGGTACTAAACCTTCTTTGATTCTAGTGAAGTTTTAGAGCTATCAAAGCATCCTTGCTGAAGTGGGACATCATGGCTTGTGTGATATCTAGCAGTAAAGGTACATTGTAAGCATCCAACAACAAAATACCTTGATTTCTATCCCATTACTGTGCCTGGGAAGACAGAGAGAGTATTTAACTTTTCTAATCTGTTTCTCTCCCACTGGCAATGTCTATTAGAGTTATCTCTGTAGAAATGTTCTCTATCAACCTTGCCAGCATCCTTTCAATACCTATTTTTCTCAACATTCTTGTTTTCCACATTTTAATCAAGTATATCATACATGAAATTATTAAGGTGCTCAGCTACGGCTAAAGAAGTGACCACTGCTCCAAAGAATATGGCCAAAAATTAGATAAAATAAGTTAAGTATTTTTAAACACTGCACACATACATCCACATCAGCAAGAAACCAAAACAACCTCTCTATGTGACAGATGCACATGTGCATGTTAAGATGCATATGTTAGGGATAAAGAACTGTCAACACACCCATTATAATCATATCTTCATCTGCTCATGTGGTGCTCACCTGTGACTTGTTAGCAAAGAACATGACTGCAATCTAAAAAAGCTACACTGCCAGAGAAATGGAAAAAAACTCCTATGCTTTTGCTTGGCTTGTATCTTTTAAAACGTGTTCCTTTCTTAAATGCAGGGGAACAGACATAGCTAAATGTAAGTAGTAGAGAATATTAAAAATAACAAAATCTTTAATAATTTTTTAATAAGTGAGAATTTCCATGCAGTTCAAATTCAAGTCTGGTAAAACGGAAAATCCACAGTCCAGTCCTGCACAGAACAATACGAGGCAGCACTGGGGGTGCCTGACATACGATCACAATGACAGTATGCTCATATTCAGCCTCTTAGAGTGTTCTGTGAAAACTCAGAGTTCACACAGTTCACATTGAGATGCCGTGTTACAATTATCATCTTTATGGCTTTGTCCTGACAAAGTGACTTTATTCTGTTGCATCCCAGGGCAGTCCCCAAATTTGCCCCCTCCAAGCAAAAGATGTTTGAGGGCTTTCACACTGTGAATAACAAGTTGCTAGAACAAGAACAGCATTAATCCTCCCTGTCACTATAATTAGTCTATCCTTTTACAGACAGCTGAATCATACTTTCTAATGCATGGAAATGTATACAGACCAGTACTCCTGCTAAGAGTAGACCTAATTATGCCTTAATCTGTTATTAAAATATTATTTGGACATTTGGATCTTTTGTGAATTCCAGTACAAGGAGAAATCTAAATTAAAAATACAAATTCAGTGAAGATGTTAATATTTCTCTAACAGACTGGTAAACACTAGAAAAATAAGGTTCTCTCTGGGAAGAGACCTGCGGAAAGACCAGGTCTTTTTTTTTGCTGTTCATAATTCTTATGGATGACTTTTAGAGCTAGAACTGGAAATAGGAGAACATTTCTGGGCATTTTGCAGCCCTGTTAAGGACTGGGGCAGTGAATCTCTAATTCCAGTTCAGAATTGTCAGCCTTAATTGGACCTCTTGAAATGCTGCGCTCTGCCTCACACTTGCAAAAAACAGATAAAAAAATAGCAGGATAAGGATATATTCAGAAAAGTCTGTGCTCAAGCATATCAGGCCAAAAAATTGCAAGTCCCAGTGAAAACTCCACTGCTGTGCAAGGCTTCCACAATGCTCTCCTGCCAGGGATTGCTTCCTTCCCTTCCCAAAAAGAGGAATCAAAAGCATTTCAACATGCAAGTTTAGGCATGCACAGTCTCTTCAGGGCTTGCTGGACTGGGCATAATAAGTCACAATCTAACCCCTAGACATCACTTTGAACTCTCATGGCATCAAAGGGAATGTAACAAACCATGACAAGCAACTTAAAAGGAGAACAGGCCAGAAAATGACAATTGCATTTCATGACAATCTCAAGGTTTCAAATTTTATTTGTTTGTTTGTTCTGCTTTGGAACGAAACAGAAAATCTCCCAATCTTATTGAACATTTTCACAAAACAGAACGTGTTGAAAGGTATTTTCAGATGAGAAAGGTCAGGTTTATAATTCACTGTTTCTCAATGACAGTTGGTTTTCCCTTGAGCTCTGAAACCAGTCCTTTAAAAATACTTTGGTAAAAGTGAATTTCTCAGGGAACAGCCTTTCATTCAAGACATTACTACTATTTCTATTTAAAATAGTTGCAATAGCTTAAAATAGTTGTTTATAGTACTTATATTTTTAAATCCTCTGTTGCATTTTTCAGTGTGAATATTATCTGGTGCTTATAGGAACAACATAGTAGTTTGAGCCTTTTTTGTCCTGAGAAAGTTACTCTCTCTGGAGTCAACTGGTGAATGCCTTTCATAGATAACTTTTTTTGCCATACCAGCAGATTGCCTCCCTGCATTTTTAATATCCAAATAAAACAGTGCCAAACACTTCACACCAGATTTTATAACACAGCTACTGAAAGTTGGTGTGGATAATTTTTATCTTTGAGCTCACATTGAGTAGATTTCAGGGCATGCAATAAAACAGTGGAGGGTTTATTTCAAGACCGAGGCAGCATAATAATTCTCATGTGCAGAGACACGACAGATGCCTCAATAACTATAAAATGGCATGGTTTTTGATAAGGACTATATGAAAAGTTCTTACCTTTCTCTAGTAGGCTTTTGTTTTTTCCCTAGACCTCTCACTGACAGAGACAAGCAACAGAGACAGCAGTTGAAGCGAGAGAAGTGACTGGGAGACCTACCTAAGGAGGTAATTGACCCAAATGATATTCTTCTCACTTGCGTTCTTGGCGTTGACAGCTATGGTTGCACTAGATTGTATCCAGATATAACCTCCGTTCTTCTGCATCCAGCGGTAATACTTTGTTACACACTGACCCTTATTCAGCACTGACAGGAAAATACAAACAGAACACAAGCAAGATAGAGTACATGTTAGAATTGTGGTAAAATGACCTTCATGGTACAACGTGACACAAGTATAAGCAGAAGATACTTGGCTTCCTGTGGATTTAATGGCAGTGAGATGACAAACAGGATCTGAAGTTCAGTGTAACTAGCTACACATTTTACAAGTTTTAAAGAATAATTTTAATCTGCTTTTGGAAACTCTAGTGGAAGAAGAAAAGTAAAAAAAAACCCCTACAAATCTCTATGGTTCTCGGAATACTTATTGCTGTGTGGAGATTTCCTATGCACTCAATGTCAAACTGTAAAAAAAGAAAAGGAAAAAAAGAGGCAAATTTATATGTGATTTATTCATAGCTCCTAGGTAGACCTCTTTGAGATTCTGGATATTTGAAAGGTTTGGGAAGATACTCTACCCCTGCTGCTTTGATCATTTCTCCTCATTGCAGGCGATATCAACCACTGAACTTATACATCTGTTTCTTTGATCTTGTCAAACAGAATTTACAGTTCTCAGATGAACCAAATCTCCACTGGTCAGTGGGGGAAAAGTCTTTGGAGAATTTACTTTCTACCAGAGCAAAGTAAATCCACCAACAGGCTGAGAAAGAGGCCTAAGGGAGGCACAGTGGCTTGGTTAGAGCCAAAGAGTGACAGCTCTCTCTGATGCTTGAAATATGCTAGGAAACAGAAAGAAGTAAAAGCAATCAGTAATGTGAAACGGTGCTGTTAGATGCTCACAGCAAGACGGCTTAAAATACAGATGTTTAAACTAATACTTCAGCCAAAATATTGCCAAGTTGAAACGGATTTGTTTTGTATCTGATTCTTCCGTGTCAGGAGAAGGGAATGAAAGGTAAATCTTTCAGTGGAAGGTAGCAGAACCGCTTTACAAAACCCGTAAACTACACAAAATCGAGGCGCTCCCTCCCCGCATTCCTCCCGATCCCCACAGAGCCTCGTGCACTAGAGGGCAGTGTGCCTTCACATTCACCGCCTGCTTTTGTCATGTCCTTGTCTCCGGCTGCTAAAATGAAAAACCTCTAACTGCTGTAATAAATTTGGCTAAATTAGCTGCTAAATGGTTATCTCAAGTAATATGTATTTGCATTAATCATCTTGCTCTAAACCAGAACAAGCCAGAGTCCTAAAGACGTAGTAAATTCATATTGTCCATTTAATTACGGCTAATAAGTGCTTCATATACAATAGTTTCATGAAGTACATTTTCTTTTTTTCCCATTTTTCCTTTTCATTTTCTTTTTTCTTTTTTTTTTTTTTTTTTTTTTTGAGAGAGAGAGAGAAAAGAAAAAAGGAAAAAAGTCACTTTGGAAAAGGATAAGTATTTAAGGAAGTAAAAAGTTCCTACCATAAATGTGACAAATGACACTTTGGAGCTTTCAAGTTAACCAAGTGTCTATACCCCCAGTTATACATGTGAATGTACCTATATCTAAATCTGTGTACAGCAGATATCTACAGAAAAGATGTTTACAAAGGCAGCCATACAAACAGTGTTGTTTCCTTACCTTGGAGGTATCCCCCAATCCCCAATGCAATTTTTCAACTACTTGAGAAAAACATGCATGTAAAATAGTGTCATGTAAAGTGAAGGTGAAGTGCACGTTATGTTCAGCTCTAATATAAACAAATATTTGTATCTGTGTCTTATTGTTTTTCAGCAGCATCTAGTGAACTAAGTTTGTTTCTAGCAGACATCAATATTTCCCTAAATTTTTACTTTTGTATTTCAAGCTCTAAATATTCTACTATGATAATTCATTGTCTTCAAAACCTCATTATACAGCAGAATAAAGATAAAACTTGAACTGACTACACAGCATTTCTGTCAAACCAATGTTGTAAGCCCCTTTAGAAAACAATCTCACATAAATTAGCCCAACTTTATCAGTTATGAAGAATGAGGGAAGAAAAACATTGCTGTAAGTTTTGATTATGGTAAGCATTTCCAGTTCAGTAAAACAGGACATTCAAAATACTCTGCTTACAGCTGAGTGTAAAACTGATGTGCACACAAGTGTGGAGTGATACTATCTCTCTTTTGGGAACATGAATACCCTCAGTTGCATGCAGAAACTAGTAAAATCCGTCTGCACTTGTACCTAGTAAATACACTATTGTCTTCCTTGGAACAGTTTTTATCTAAGGAGTTTACCATGCTACACAAATGCCAAAGGACAACTGTCCACATACACGTTTGAAAATCAAAGTACCAGGTGAGTCACTAGCCAGTGGCTGAAGGGCACACTGCAGTTATTCATAGCGATAGTCATAAGGTCCCAGATTCTCCAGCTCTTTTGGTCATCCTAGACAATTCCTTCATCCTTCAGTAACATATATTGGTTGTTACATCACTGAAAAAGTCTGTGTCATGGACTGAACAGAGCATTCATTTCAGAACTATGGAAAAGAGGAAAAGATCCCTGCTTTCTTAAGAATGAGAATTCCATGCATCAGAGCTATATACAACCCATCTACTCTCAGAGTTCAGGCTCCCAAGTACAAAGAATACATCCAAAGAATGTCTGAAATACTGTATTAAAAATGAACTTTCCATGAAGTTCATCTGCCTGCAAGTTCCCACTCTATTTTTGGCCAGCTTAGATATATTACCAGATACATAGAATTTTCCTTGCTGCATCTGTCTAAAGCACATTTCATATAAGAGATTTGTGGCCCATGCTCTAAAGGAAGTCCCATGATTCAATATAAAAATTCTCTCAATAAAGAGATTCTTCAGCAGGCAAGCTGTACTGTGCTGCTAAATCTGGTTGTTACCTCCTGTGAGAGTGCACTAGGCACCCCCAACTCAGTTCTGAAAGTTCCCAGTATACCTTGGAAAGAGATTTTTAAATGTGATGAAAGAAAATGATAACGAAAAATAATTGAATTGTTTTCTAATTTACAGTATTGTTTAACTGCTGGCATTGCCAACCTGCAACTTAGAAATTATTATGAGAATTCTGAGGCAAAAAAAAAGCAATTAGAAAGGAGGCAGGAGGGAGGGAAATTTATCCAGTTTATTGGTAACTAGTTTTACTGAGTAGAGCCCAGTTTAATTTTAAAGATCTTTAGTCTGCAGGTATGGAGAGTCCATTAATAAAGTTCCTGATTTAAAGAAGAAATGAAAGCAAATAATCACTCCACTCTAAGCTCTGATTGTGAAGATATGTTTTTTAACTAGCAACAGACCATGCATTTCAGTTTAGCATAACCTGAATGTAAATGTAATGCCATGTAGATTACATCCTGACTTTTCAGGATGTTTTGTTTTTAGGCAAATCCCTCACTCACTGAGTGGTGCAAATAATTTTATATTTCTATTTGTGTTATACATGGAGAACCCAGTATGACAGATAAGGTGAGACTAGTGACCAGATTGGTGGGATGGTGCATGTGACAGGATTAAGCCGGATTGGGTTATATAATTTTATATATATATACACACACACATAAAAACAGACATATACACAAACCCTTTAATCAAAGGGACTGAGGGTTAATGTTTTAAAATTGGTGACCTTTATGTCAGCAGTACAGATATATTCCCTAAAATGGTGGATGGTAAACCTGATTAAAATTTGCTGAAATGTTACCTAGTTCCTCAATATGAATTCAGTGGTTGGCATGCAAGAAGTGCACGGTATGTCATGCTAAGAAATAAAAAAACCCTCACTTATTTCTCAAAGTATGAATATATTGCTGTGTACACAGTTCCCAACAGAGGGATTTCAGTTTTCCTTGGTAGCTTTGTGCACAGCAATATTCTTGTAGCGGTGGAATGAAGGAGGGGGAAAAAGAAGAAACAGTCAGTGTTCTTTGCAGGAACCTATTTCTGTTAGAAAATGAAAATAAATCAGTACAAGTTTGTCTTCAGAAATATGGTTACAAATAGAAAAAGAACATAGTTTCTTCCTGTAAGGCTGTTCTGAGAAATCAAAGCCAAAGCTTCTAAATAGTGAGTTGTGTTTTAAAAGAAGGAAGTAGCTTAATTCAGTTTGAAGAGGAGATGAAGAAATTGTGTATCAAAAGCAGTCTTTTAGCAAAGTCTCTTACAAAAGGACATTTTACTCATGTGCATATGCATTTAAAAGCTACACTATATTGCGTATTCAGGTAAGTATTGAGTAAATAGGAAATGATGAGATCATCTTACATATTCACACAGCTTCACAAAGAGGCTCTTTATAATTGGTGAAAATATTGAGGTTACATCTGCTGTGCTATTCACCCTTCTCCTTGAAATACCTTTATCAATGACTGGATGGTAGTTCTCTCATGGTAAACTTATAAGAATATTTTAAATTTACTGCACAAGGATGAAATTGCCGTACTTAATACTACAGTTGGATACTTAGCTGCAGCCACAAGTACTCTTCCTACATTCACAAAACTGGCAGACGAAACATGAAAAGGAATACTGACTCTTTAATCTCCACTTCTCCACCTAAGGCCCAAGGCAAGCTGACAGGGTAACTTCGTTCTGGAAACAGAGGGGGTTTTATTTTTTTAAATTCTGGATTACTTTTTCTTCTGCTTTTGAAAACTGTAGGCTATAGGGGAATGAACCTGGCATAGACTTAAAACAAGAACAAGTTTCTTTATCTGAAAAGTTACAGTCCTTGATGCTTACAGGAAGGTCATTTTCAAAACCCACAGGAAAAATAGCATCACAGCCAGAAAGAGTCCCTTATTTGCCTGTAACAGAGACAGTTGTCCATTTATAATGGCTTTGAGGATCAAGTGAGTCTTTGATGTAGTAAGGACTTTCCTATAGATTTTTCAATTAGTGAGCTAGATATTTAAAATAGTGGGTATCCATAAATTGGATTTTAGCAATGAAAAATATTTAGCGATGTTAAATAATGCTTGCTACAGAATTAGGAGCTAGATGATAGGAGACTTGTAGACATTTGGTGAAGAATAATATGTCAGCTACATAATTCTCCACAAACAGCTCT